CACTGTGTCTCTCTCTGTGTCTCTGTCTCTCTTACCTGGGAGCAACTGCGGGGGGTGGGGGGAGGGCACATGCAGAGCATGTGGTCCCCTGACAGTCAATCACTTTGCCCTACTGCCCCCATCCCAAAGCAGCCAAGCTGGAAGTGACTGGGAAAAGCCAGAGGCAGAGCAAAAACCCAGACATTTGCTTGCATTTTAAAAACCCGCCCAGGCAGGAGGACAGGGGGCCAAAAAAGAGGACATGTCTAGGAAAACCTGGGTGTATGGTAAACCTACCCGTGCCCCTGCTCCCCTTCTCCACGTGGCCTGGCCGTGCTCCCCTGGCCCTAGGTTTCCCCCCACAGCTTGCAGGAAGGTGGGAGGGAGTGCAAAACTTTATTGAGCAGTCTGTGCAGGGACAGGTAGGCAGGCACGGGCTTCTCACATGCCAAGGAATGAGTCAATGCTGGCAGCAATGTCATCTTGGGCTGTGGGAGGGCAGGGACATGTCATGCAGCCACAAGTAGCCCTCCAAACAGCGGAGGTTGTGGGGCAGGGTGTGCTTGCCCTCTGCACCATCAAAGATGAGGGTCCCACGTCAGGTTCTCAGGTGCACCTGGGGGACCATGGCGAGCAGCAGCAGCAGAGTGTGGTGTGTCGGGTACCCCTTGGTTGATGCAGACAGCTCCTCACGGCATGCCCAGAACGCTGTCAGCAGGGCTATGTTTGCAGCACAGAGCCAGCATGGGGGCTGGCCCCAGGGCACCTCTCCAGAGAGGCCTTCTGGAGGGAGATCGGGGCGCCAGCAGCTCTGCACCTCAGTTGGCCGGGAGCCCCTTGCACCCTGATCCTGGGTGCTGTGGGCTTGATGGCAGCCCAGGAGACAGGCTGGGCTAAAGGAGGAGAGTGCAGGGAGTGGGTCTGGAGCCACAGCAGCAGATGCTGCCAGGATCCAGGCCTGTTCCAACCTGGGAAGGGGGCGAAGGAGACGGGGAAGGCAGAACAAGCGGGAACAGGGGGGCTCAGCCAGCAGCCCCCTGTACCAGGGCCTGGTATTATAAGGTGCATCAGTCCGACTAGTTTTGGGGGGGGGGGTTAAACCACAAATCCTCCTGGAAGATTATTTCTACATAAAACGAAACATACTCAGTTATCACTTTACCTCAGACTATGAAGACATCTCTGTGGGGTATGCTGGGATTTTTAAAGCACATTTTCTCCACACTCACTGGATTCTCAAATAAAATAAATAAATACAACCTTTGATCTTTAAAGATGAGACTTCTAACTGCAACAGGAAGTCTAGCAGGCTCATACTTTGTAATAGCTTCTGTGATTACTTTGCAAGGGATCTTACATCAGGCAGCAGATTACATCCATTAAAAAAGAAAATTAATTCACTACATTCAGAAAACATTGAAGAAATGATTAATAAACTGAAATGAGACTGCTGAAATCTAGTATTATTGTACCGTATTATTATAACAGGGACAATTGCCTGCAAAACAAGCCAAGTCTTAAAAACATAAACTAAATTTATATTTTAATAGCTTCAGTGGCTGTTTAAGCCTGAACAGTTAGAACAATGGTTCGCAGTCTTTTACTGTACATTTAGAAGGATGGTGCTCAATCAACCTTTTGGCCAGATAGGTGGGATGGAGCTGGTCCATGTGCCAGATCTTTGGGCTTGCTGCTATGAGGGGCCCTACACACCTGAATCTGCCTCACACCCCCTGGATTCAGCTCTGTGCTGTTCAGATTGGCCTCACTGCCTGAATCTACCACATGCTTCCCAGATCCTGCCTTGCCCCATTTGCCCAATCTGGACAGCAGGCTCCTCCTAGGTCCAGAGATTTTGCAGCAGGGGAGCAGCACTGCCACTGCTTTCCTGCCACAACATTTTCAGACCTATGGGAAACCTGGCAAGCTTTGGTGACGTGTAGGGGTGCATGTGGGTGCATGTGCACACCCTGAGCGTGGCAGTGCACCCCCTACAAAAAGGCTCCACCAACAGTGTCACCACCCCCAACCCCCACCGCCATGCTGCCGCTGCCATGCTCCTGCTGCCACTGTGCCCCACCAACCGCCAGGAACATGCATCATTCATGCTGGCAAGGTGAATGACATGGATCCATAGGCTGAATCTGGCCCATGGACCAGGGGTTGAACACCCCTGACTTAGTAGATGAAAAACTCGACATCAATTCTTTCCTGAATACTTAAATTTGCTCTTTGGAAAGCTCTTCAGTTTCATTAGGTTGTAAACTGCTCCATCGTGTGGTGAAAGTATGGTACTAGCAGACAGCACAAAATGTCTCAACCTCACTGTTTTACATTGAGTTACTGCAAAGCAATCAGAGGCACCAGAATGAACTCTAATGAAATGT